CTCTCTCTCTCTCTCTCTCTCTCTCTCTCTCTCTCTCTCTCTCTCTCTCTCTCTCTCTCTCTCTCTCTCTAATAAACCAATACACAGACGACAAGGGAACACATACATTGTACAAGTGCATCGTCGGTGACAGAAACTGAAAGCCGAATTCAGCAATAGGAGCCAACAATAACAAATTTCCAATTCTCTCTCTCTCTCGCCGTCTCGCTGTCACGATGGACATGCAAATCCCGGAAGACAGAAAGTTTGAACTCTCGATGTATCCACTTTGCAAACTGAAGAAATGAATCAAACGGTCGTCCACGAACCTCTACCTGCCACGTTCATCATCGCAGTGTGGTCGGATCATCCAACCACCTCCCGATTACGAGCACACTACAACTACGGCCGAAGCGATAAAAAAATAAGTAAAAATATAAGGGCACTCCGCGCTCCACAGTGTACAATGGAATAAATCCACGGAGAAGACGGACAGACCGACAAAAGTACGCGCACGACAGGCAATCTGCCACTCCTCTACAGACACAAACCGAAAACAAGCCTATGGCATGAAATGAACTAGGAGTGTGAATGAACTCCATCCGACTTAAGTAGACGACACGTGCAAGGCAACAGAGTGACATCCATAGCCGAAAAATGCCCTGTGGCAGACGTTCCCGTATAGCCTTCGTTATTTCCAGCAGCGCATGACACATAAGCTTGCTAACTTCATTAGACGCAGCGCAGTGTTGCTTCTGGACCTCCACATCCACTTCGATAGCCTCACACTGCCGAATTTGAATGGAGCATTGCCTCTTGCTCGCGCTCTCCATCGCCTCGCATTGCCTCCTGCTCGCGCTCTCCATCGTCGACGCCATCAACGCCCCATGCTTCTCCATCCACTCGCTTAAGGCCTCGAATGTCTGCTGCCGCACGTTTTTCCTCTTCCCGAAATCGGTCGGGCTTCCAGTCGTCTGTGAGCCCCCACGCGCTGAGTTGTCATATTCGTCGTCGCCATCTCCAGTGGCATCCCCGTCCCCCACAGATTCCGGAGTCGCCGAGTGTGCAGATGCGAGTTGCACACCTTCTGGGCCACCGGTGTCTGCAACATTGCTCGGGCTGATAATGTGGCTCCTCTGCTTCGCCCCTTTGATCTCCTCGTAGACGACCCGATCCATATTCAAGTTGAATCCTTTCTCTGCCCCTCTGCTGACTCGTCAACTGGAAGAAGTCCTCCTTCCCCAACATGCCCATGAAAGTGTGGATCTTTTTGAACTGTTGCATGAGATTATCCCATTTCTTCCCGCATTTGTCTGCCGGCCTGTCAACACCGACCTTCAGCAACCTCTCCCGGACGTCCAACCATTTCCACTCCCTCGATAGCATCCGTGCGAATGAGTGCCCCACCGCTTGCAGCTGGGCGTCCTGATCCCGCTTCGCCCTTATGAGGGCCACCATGTGTTCCACAGACCAGAAATTTCAGCCACCCTCCCCATCCACCTCACCTTCCGCATCAGCAGAGGTCGCCGACGACCTCTTCCGCCTCCGCCCAGCATTCGTCGAAGCCCTGCCTTTGCCGCCCCTGCCACCCATGTTCGGCGCATGCAACGGGAGCACGTCACTGTTGTCGTCCTCCTCAACGTCGCACTGAACTTCGTCACCGTCTGTCCAAACGTCACCCCCCCGCCAACTGCGTCTGCTTGTCCGGCCCGCTCGCCCACGCGTAATCGCTGCACACCTTGCGTTATGGACTCTTCTTGCTGCCGCCGCAACTCCTGCCTCGACTCCTTCCATACCCGTCTGCCATCTCCATGCGCGCCCTCGAAAGGGAAGTCTTCCTCAGTCACACCCCATTCAACAGGACGAGGAACGGTGTCGCGGCCCCTGGAGAACGCAGGAGGGGGGTTCATCCACTCAGGGCGACCACTGGTGGTGCTTGGAGTTGACGGGCCACAAGTCGCCTGCACTCGAGGCCGCTCCCTCGTCTTCTCGGACGTCTCCTAAGGCGCAGAACCACCCCTCGTGCCCCTGCCGACCAATGTCACCTGCCCCGCGTCGTCGTTGGGATGAGGGTTCACGAGCACAGAGCGCGTGTAGCGGACCTCGGGTTGGCCTGTGAGACCAGCCGCTTGGCCTGTTCTCACAGGCCTGTGTTATATTCGGGGTAGGCCAGTCCAGGCCGGTACCTCTGTCGGTACCAGCCATTCTAGTCCAGTCCCGTCAGTCCGCTAGGGTATACCCCAACCATTGTCTGTTTTCAGGCTCATTCCTCACTTGCACATTTTGGAGTACGTGCGTTGGAGTYTTGCGTGGGGAGCTGCGTTGTGCCATCTTGCTCCCCCTTCTTCCTCCATCTCCATCTCTGTCACTAGCGGAGCACCACACCTGGTGGGTCCGCTACAGCGCGTGGCAGAAGATGGGCTCCCGCTCCGCAGGCCAAATGTGAGATCCACAAGGGGGAGGCGTTCCTCGTCCTGGGCACCTTCGTGGAGGAGGGAAGTGAACGACTGCCTGTACTTTGCTCCACGCCGATCATACAACTGGCTACCCGTCCATTCCTGGGTCGACCCGCTACCCAGCGAAACTGTGTTGGACACGTCCACGTCCGCCTCCCCCTCGTCCGAATCGGGCAGAGGCTGCATGTGAGGCGAGAGTCCTTCGTACGGCGACGGACCGGCCGCCCTTCTGTCTACACCGGTGCAGATCGCAGGCCGGTGGCTGGGATAAGTGTCCAACAACGTGGCAAGATTCGGCCGTCGCCCGCCCATGGCCACGCTCTTCCTCACCCCTCGTTTCTTGCGAGTACGTGAAGGCAACCTCCCCAATATGCACACCTGAACAAAGACGACAACGAGAAGCAGAATCACGACGAGGAGGACCAGCGGCAACTTGCGGAGCACGTCGGCCATGTAACACAACCATTCTCGCAAGGGCAACTAACGACGACAATGCACGACAACGTAACGTCTACCCAGACGACTGCAAACAGCAGGCGTGCCTGGGCATGACTGGCGACGCCCTCTGCCGCTTTACATTGTGGACCACTGGGCGTGGTGACGGACGTACGCCGCTGTCATTTTCGAAACGGCTGGCCGTTGGAGGCCTTCCCGTTTCCCGCCGGTGTTGGTGAGGGGTTGGGATAAACCAGAAACGGCCAGGGACCCCGTCCGCCACCCAACCTTACCGTTGCGGTCGTTCCCGACGGAGTTGAATGTTGTCGGCCGCTAATGTCCGCCCGCACCTCGGCTAGACCAGCAATGTACCAGACTACAAAATTCTGACGTCGTCGAAGAGCGCGGCCGCCGTCCCGATTTTCGCGGAAACTCCCACTCCGAGGGACCTCGCGAGGTACCTTGGGGAACACAGCCAAATGCCTGTAGCCCGAGGACGCCCCGACGACGCCCCGAGGAAATGTTTTCACATCGATTTCGAGGGAGCACTCTCCGAGGACAGATGGAACGATCGATTCCTCGGGATTTTTGAGCGCCCAATTCTAAATTCTGGGACTAGCTCGGCCCAGACGGCCCACTGCGCCCCTATTCCATCGAGTGCCCAAGTTGGGTGAGCTATAAGATAGCTAATCTATATTTCCGTCGCCTGTTTGTACCTAGATGAGTGTCTCCCCCCTCTCAGGTTTCTATCCTACTGAGAGCGGCTCATTTAGTACCCACTTCTACAGCACTACTAGTCCCTTTCTTGGATGCACAGTTGCCAGTTGGTGACTCTTTGCCTACGTGCTGTTGAACCATTGCATTTGACTTCTGCTTCCCTTCCCGGACTTTGCCCTTCTCCTCCAATCAACCCTGATGGCGTGCTTCAGTCCCTGCTTGATATGTCATTTTGTTTCGATATATGAGAATGGACGCCTCTGGAACCTGGATTTTTTCCTGTCGTTCCAAACTGTGTCACAGATCAGGCCTCGTACCACATGGGCGATGTAGCCCCACCCTCTGTGACCTTTGACATTGGATTGTAGGAAACCCAGGAGCACCCATTTCTCGTTCCATTCCACCCCTTGTCCTCCCAGATCTTTCCAATGACGCGTCTACCAGTTCCACACTCTCTTGGAAGCCGTGCATTCCCACCACAGATGACGGGTGGACTCAAATGGCCACCTGCATCTAGTGCATGCCAGGCTTACTGTTAAGCCTCTGCTGGTGAGCCAGACCGCTGAAGGGGAGACCATCAGCGAGAGCAACTTTAGAATGCTGACCTGCTTACTGTTTGGAAGGGTGGCTAAAATATCTCAGAGCCTTTCGAAGTCAGATCCTGCTTCCGAGAGGTCTTCCTCCCAGACTGCTTGCCATCGAGGAATAGCTACCTGGGCTGGCGTTTTCAACTTGCGTGTGATTTGCAGGTAGCCTGCAGACACCGAGTAGTTTTGTAGGCTTAGGGCTGCTCCTTAAATTGAGTTGGCGGACCATCTCCACGCCATTGGGTCAATGCACAGTTGGTTGAGGGGTACTCTTCCAACCCAACTGAGGATGTGTGTTGATGGTCTCTCGCCCTTTACCGTTACTACTCGAGCCTGGGCTGGGTTATTCCATAACAGGATTGTATCTTCTTCCACCTTCGACAGGATGTTCGCCGTGCCTTCGCAATGCCAACGCTCTATCCGCCTGAATCCACTGGGAAGTACGGTCAACACCTTTCATAGCATGTTGGCTTCTCCTTCCTGACTAGGGACATACCACGTGGCTGGCACTGCCTGCTGGGTCTACACCTTTTGGGCCCAGTATCTCCATCTACTCTTGTGGGATTGCGTTTATGATCTCCCGCCAGTGTTCCTCCGTCCTCTGTAGGCCTCCGAGTGTTATCCTTACCTCGGCCAGGGGTTTCCACCCACCCAAGGTGATGGACCACAAGTCTGAGAAGCGCACTACGCCTTTCTTGATCCATGCTTGGCCGAAGGTGCCTGTGGAACCGTCTGCTGCAAAGAGTTGTCCTGCTTGGTTGACAACTACCGGATTTTCAAACAGCAGCTACTTCAGAACTTCGTCCCTGGTGACTGGAGGGGACTGCAGATCTGGGGGAGTGAGGTGCCATGCTCTTCGGATGGGCTCCCAGAATCCTGATTTAAGTCTTCTTTTGCAGAAAGAAGGCATAAAGAAGCAGTCCCACACGTCATGGGGTCTGCTAAGGTCCCACTCCCGCATCAGTATCCGTTCTGCGAGATCGAATCAGTGGTCTCTAACCTTGGCATTGGCCACCTTGGCTACCTCGTCACGTAGTTGGGCTTGGTTCCTGAGGCCAAGGTCCAGCAATCCCAGTCCTCCTTGGATGCATGGAAAGGACAGTGTGTCGTAGGCTACCTTGGACAGAAATCCCTCTGTGGATTGGGCTCTTAGTTTCCAGATGAAGCGTGCCACTAGCTTCTTGATCGCCCTTATCACGCCCTCAACCATTTCTTTCACCGTTGTGACAAACCACAGGAATGAGAGCAGTGCCACATTGGCAACTAGAGTTCTCCCCATCAGCGATAGGTGTCATGTGTGGCCCCACAGTTTGAGTCTGGCTGAGATGCGTTGTTGCCGCAGCAGTCCTTGGGACGACGCCTCAATCTGCAGACTCACCAACACCCCTAAGAACCTTTTCTCCTCCCTTGTTTCCACTCTCCTGATTCCCCATTCCACTTGCAGGTTGAATTGTGCGGGCAGCAAGTACGTGGATTTGTTCCAGTTTACCGTTGCTTCCGACAAAGCATAGTACTCCCTCATGACCGACTGGAGTGCTGCCAGAGACGTCTTGGTGTTCTCGCATACTGCGAACAGATTGTCTGCCAGGGCCTTCACCTTGCACTCCTCGCCTGTGTGGAGCTGCAGGCCTCTTATGTCCGGGTGCCTTTATATTCTGTTCAACAAGACTTCCAACTACAGAACGAAGATGAGCGGGGCAAGAGGACAGCCTTGGCGCAGTGACCTCGTGAGTGGGAATGGCTCCGAAAGGTGACCGTTTACCATCACTTCTGATGTCGATAAGGTCTATAGTGCAACGAACCAGGCACAAAAGCCTTCACCAAACCCCATTCGTCTCAAGGTCGTGGAGGTAAAGGTCCACCCGACCTTATCGTAGGCCTTCTCCAAATCGAGCAGAAGGACTGCCATATCCAGGGTTTCCTCAAGGTCTCAATAGTTGTTACAATGTTGTTGAATATGGGTCGGCCCTGCACAGAGGTGCCTTGGTTTCTTATTACTAGCTCCGGAAGGTATTTCGAGAATCTGCGTGCTACCGTCTTTGCAAGGATCTTGTAAGACACGTTCAGGAGGGATATTGGACGCCAGTTTCGAATATCCGCTTTGTCTTCTTTCTTGAACGGGACAGTTATTACGTCGTGTGTCATCCCTCTCCCCGGTCTGCCTCCCACTAGGATCTCATTGTAGAGCTCGACCAAGAGAGGGTCGTAGACATCCCAGTTGGTCCTATAAAATTCTACTCTTAATCCATCTACCCCTGGAGATTTTCCCACTGCCATTGACTTGATGGTCTGCGTCACTTCCGTGAGAGAAAGGGGATGGTCCAGATCTAACCTGGCTGTAGTCTGCAGTTTTACAGTGGTATCTTCGAAATAATCTTCCCACATGTCTGAGACGTTGGTCAAGTCCGTGTTCACGTCCTCCTGAGGGCGCCTGGTGGAGAGGATGTCTGAGTAGTACAGGCTGGCATATTGGAGCATGTCGGTGGTTGTGCAGGCTGTCAGAACAGCAGCGTCAAATGGGTGTCTTAGTTCCACCATTTGTTGCTGGGTACGGCGCAGCTGCAACTTCTGGAAGGACTCCTTTGTCATCTTATCATTGGTCTCTATTCCTTTTACCTTCGGTATGTCTGTCCGCCTCTTCTGTTTCTCCTCCTGTAGGATATTCCATTCACTCAAGCGCCTCTCCCTTTCTGCCGCCCACACCATGGCTGAGATAGGGTGCCCTTCCATCTTCTCTTCTGCCACCTCTACCCTTCGCTTACAATCTTCTTCTTT